GTGTGTGTGTGTGTGTGTGTGTGTGTGTGTATACATATACAAATTTACTACTTTTATAGAATAATAAATAAAAAGTGTAATAATAAGTAAAAGTTTTTTCTGGGCAAAAAAAAAATTATTATTGCCTAATGACCTACAATAATATCTTTGAGATGTTTATTTCTCAACTTTCCTTAGAGTTTGTTTCTGTGTTTGTTTAGTTGTGCTGGGGATTGAACCCAGGGCCTTGTACATGTTAGACAAGCACTCTACCAACAGAGCTATGTCCTCATCTTCTTTTCTTAAAACTTTGAACTTACAGACAAAAGATAACTTGAACCTGTATTTACTCCGTAAACAATCTCATCAGTACTCCAGATCTTTACCGAGTTACAGAGATTGCCTTGTTTGGGGTGAAAGTTTATATACAAGCATCTTTTCAAGTTGGATAGTTTTGAAAAAAAAAGGGGGGGGGTTGAATTGAATTTGCTCTATGTTTAACACTTTGATATCTTTTTTTATTTATGGAAAAGTTAAACAACAGCATTTATACTGCAAAAAATATTAACTATTTTTCTTCTGTTATAAAGAACTTTTAGTTTTGATAAATTACCTTCACCTAATTTATGCTACATGTACAAATGTATAGATAAAGCTGTGTTCATCTTTAGCAAGATGCTATAATAAGGCTAGCTCCATTTCCTAAAAAATTGTACATTCTAATATTGCTTAGCTGAGTTAGGGGTTTTCAACCCTGAACTTTGTAGAAGTCTGTTCTCACAAAAATAAAGGCCATAGTTTCAATTCCTATTTAGGTATGCTAGCTATAAAACAGGAAAAAAAAAGTTTCCACAGCCACAAATTCTTTCTCAACTCTGACAAACCTTTTTTTTTTTTTTTTTTTTGTGAACACTTTGGGCACAAGAAAGGGCTGAGGGAGTGAATCTGGAAAGCCCTGTGCAAATCCATCTTGGAGAAAAGGAAAGTACAGATGGCATATCAGCAGTGGATTCATCTAGGAGAAGTAGCAGATGTTGAAAATGTACTACTTTTAAATGTGCCAATATAGTTTCAAGATCATCAATTTCAAGGTTGGATACTTTGAAGACTGGCAGAAATTAGCGCATTCATCTAGTCATTCACAAATATTCATCAGGTACACACTATGCAAAGTGGAGCAGGACCAGGTGTGGATCTTTACTATCCATGCACACCTGCTCAACTGTGAAGGTGACACTCTTAAAGAAACTTTGTTCTGAGTGATAACAAGAAGAAACTTACTCTTAATGTTTAAAGCATGGATGCACATCAAGTATATAATCAGATACACAGTATTTCTTTGGTATTAAATTTCCATGGAGAGAGGTGATTAGAGAATACAAAGTCTAAGATGACTCCCAAGGAAGTCAATAAAAAAAAGAAAATTTAAAAAGCCTGAGAAACTCTACTCCATTAGGGAGAAAATAAACATATGATTTATAATGAAACACAGTAACTAAAATGACAGAGGAATTATAGAATGCTGTGGCTGCATGTACCAGCAACACCTAACCTGGTACAGAGGGGAAATCCCGCTGGGGTTATGGCTCAGTGGTAGGGCGCTTGCCTAGCATTATTGAGACACTGGGTTCAATCCCTGGCACCACATAAAAATAAAAACAAATAAAAACAGAGGGGAAATCCCAGAAGAGGTCACACTCAAGAAGAGGTGTAAGGGAGGGCCAATAGGAATTACCCAGGCAAGTGGGTGGGGAGTAAGTGTGCCAGAATCAAACAGAGAAAAGACTAGTGAAAATTCCCTGGCACATCACTCATAAGACTTTCATCAAAGAAAATCTATATATACCCCTAAATTGACTAGCTTGGCTACGTCAGCTAATTCTCTAGCTTGGCTAATTCATGAAGTCAGATAAGCCAAAGAGAAAACACAGATAACTGAGAGATGAATTGGTGTCACAGTTTTAGACTTTGAGACAGTTCTCTCTTAACATTGGGGCCTTTCTTTAAATTGTCTGCCATCATCAAAGTAAGGCCTTGAACACTATCTGCCAGAGAATTCCAGCCCCAGTCATGTCTCCCTCTAAACATCCCATGGAAATGGAACATAGAGCTTTCTGGAAGACCTAGGCCCAGTGGTGCTGTCTCCAGAGCAGCTCTAATATACTTCTCCACTCCAAATCTTTATGTTGATCCAGTCAACTCATTAGCCTTCCAGTGGAGGGTTTGTACAAACAGGTTCCAAATTACTGACAGAAATAATTGGAATAGTCCTTTCAATGACTATTTCTTGAATTCCCCATGCATAGTTCTCATCACTGATGGAGAGATCGACCATGGGGAAGGACAGACCAGGTCCTTCACTCATGGACTTTGCTTTCTCAGGGAGCAAAAGCAGACAGAAAATATGTGAACAAATTATAAATCTAATCATTCCACTTACGAATGAGCTTCAGGAAATAAATCTAAAGAGGATTACAGGTTAAAGAGTGACTTTGGATAAGAAGGTGAAGAATAAAGATAACAACAATGTGAGCGGAAATCTAAATGAAAAGGACCACCTACAAAAGTCAAAATCCTCTTTTCTAGCCATTTTGAAAAGATAAATATTTGAGATGATAGATATGCTAATTAGCCTAATTTGATCATTACATATTGTATACCTATATCAAAACATCATGCTATAATACACAAAATACATATGCTTTTTTTGTGCTGAAAATTGTAGCCAAAGTCTTACACATGCTAAGAATATTCTCTACAACTAAATTACATCCCCAACCCAATATGTACAATTATTATGTCAACTAAAAATAAAGCCAAAATAAATAAGCACATCAACTATAAAATTTCCAAAAAAAGAAAGAGCCAGCATTGTGACTATCAGAGTAAATAGTGCCCTATATGCAAATGAAAACTCATAGCAAGAAAACTGATCATGGGTATACACTTATATAGCTATACAATTATGAATAATATGCTTTTCAATTGGCTCTGCCATCCTAACATGCCTTGCAGGAACCCCAAGATCTCTTTCAAACCAGGACATAAGAAGTTAATGTTTCTAGAAGCCTGTTTCCCTGGTTGGTTTCAGTTTGGTTGGTTGGTGTCCATATCATGTCATTTGTTAAATATTTCTAACATCATCTCCAAACTAAAGCACGGTATACTGTATTGTCACATAACTCCAAGGATGAATCTAGAAGCCCTCAACTCTGTCCTGTAAACTTGACTGAGATAATGCCTTTATCTGTACCTTTATCTGCTACGGAGGCAACAGCATGATTGTGAAATCCAGGTAAAGAAGATTTCCTGGTTTTGAATGGTAAGCTCTGCTATTGACTTAGCTACAGGATCCTGGACAATTTGCCTAAAAATTTTCTATTTCAACTTCTTATAAAATGAGAACAATGAAAATGCCTCATAGGATTTTCTTGAGGATTTAATGATAGAATGCATGTAAAGCATTTGAAAGACCTTGGGCATATTTGAAACCATGATGGTATTCACATGAAGTATGAATTTCCTTCACCCTGACTTGCTTTTTTTCATATTAAATTTCTTAACAAATTTCAAGGTTTCGATAAAATGCCATAATCACTACAAAACTTCTAGCCTCCAGAGAAGCTATTTCCCACCTGTGAACAACTGCTAATGCATTGCTTATACATTAGTATAACAAGGAACGTTTATGTAAGTTTGTATACATATTTTGCATGCTCAGTTGGGTTGCAAATTAACATCAAATAATTCTGCCCCATATAAGTGCAATTTGAGTCACATTAAAAAAGTAAATAAATGGAATCTATTTTAATAACATATAACTTGATATAACCAAAATAATAAATTTTATCACGTAATCAATAGGAAGTAATTTTTAAATGAGTTTTTTTTTTACTAAGTCTAAAATTTGGTGCTTTTCTTAATCTTACAGCACATTTTACTTCAGAATAGCCATATTTCAAGTGGTTGATGATAGTCACATGTAGCTAGTAGCTACCATTTGAGACAACCAGCGTTAGGTCATATATTATCTTCTATAGCTTTGTATTTATCATAATGCCTAGTATATTCCTTGTTCCAGAAACTCAATTAAAAATATTCATTAGTTAGGGGCTGGGATTATAGCTCAGTGGCAGAGTGTCTGCCTCACACATGTGAGGCATGGGGTTTGATACTCAGCACCACATAAAAATAAATAAATAAATAAAGATATTGTATACAAAAAAAATTTCAAAAATATTCATTAATTAGTTACTTATTTTACTGGTTCATTTACAAGTAGGACTATCTATCTGTGGAAAACATTTCAGCTATTTATGACATAAAAAATAAAAACTGGAAAAATAGTTCTCTTTAAAGAATAAAGAATTTTATTCTTTATAGGGAGTAATCAAATAAAATTTTTAATTATTTTTCCCATTAAGTATATAGTGTAAATACACTAAGTCATAAATAAATTGTATACAAATAAAGAAAATGCATATATTTGTATGTTGGATGTTTGAATAAATATAATGTATTTACTTGTTTGATGTGTTTGAATAAATAATTCAACCTCACTTTCTGATAACAGTAACAATATTACATAGGAGAAATTAACTCACAAAATAAACATACAGGATTTATTAAGACTCAGTGAAAATATTTTGATTCCATTTCCCAATCAATCTAATTTTTCCTTAAAGTGATACATTCCTAAATGTATTCAATGTTTTCATAAACAATTCCCCAGCTAGTCAGATGTAGTTACAGAAAATGAATAACATTATTTCCATAGTCATTAACAACATACTATGAGGAACAGATTAATTTGAATTGCTCTGTTAGAAAAACTGATATGAAAAAATCAATCCTAATATATATTTTACCATTCTAACATTGGGCCTACCTACTCCTTCTGTTTGAGATTTATTCTTATTTTTTTAAAAAACTTGTATATTCATTTGCCTGCAGAACTGACTGTGATAGAGCATTACAAAGAATTAACAAAATACAGCATTCAGGAAAGTACAATAACTCACCTTTGGCAATTTCAACGGTAATTTGCAAATTGGCAACTCATAATGATTTTCATTAAGTATGAGAGATTGGTCCAGGTTGGGAACTATCTTTTCCTTAGGTACTTTATAAAATACAATGGTTCCCTTATAATGAGGACAGCTGTAGTTTCCAAATTCATCCACCTCTTTGATTTGGAGTTCCAGCCTCGGTTTTCTTTGCAAGTGAAAAATAAGTTGATATTCTTTTCCATAATCCTTCCCATTGCCTAAATGGAAGTAAAATGCATTCATTGCCATTAAGATATATCACTTTGTCTTAATTTTTAAAGCCCAAATATTCATCCAATTTCTACATATAATTAAAGTTTCTTGTTGTATTATTGCATCTTGTCAAACATAACTTGGAAAACCAACAATCGGTTAAGAACAGATTATCACTAGAAGAATGTTTCATTTGTTGGTGGGTGAGGTTCTCTCTGGCTATTTCTAGATTTAAAAATCTTTTCTTTTTTGTTTTTTCCCCTTTTGCTATAGCAAGGAACTATTAGAAATATTCAGCTCTTTCAGTATTTAGAAAATTATCTTCAGTCTCAAGAATTACCTTTGTCCTTTATCTTGTTCATACTGGGTTGTACATTATCATAGCCTCACAATAGACTTTCTAGTACTGTACTCTCCTATAACTGTGGCTATTCAGGTTGAAAGGAAAATTAATTAAAATTAAAGAAAGTTTCAAATTCCACTCCTCACCACATTTAAAATGCTCAGTAACAACACATGTCTAAGTGGCTACATTACTGAATAGCACAGATATAAAACTTTTTCTTGTTTTCAGAATGGACCATGCTATTTTAGAACTTCCAAGTGGGATAGTTTGGGATTTGTGTTGAAAAATTTGTAAGAAATTTGTAAAAACAAACAAACAAAAAGTAGTGGATGCTCCTAAAACAATAATCTATGTAAGAATTCTCAACTCCTCAGTGAAAACACTGACATGTTTCTGAACACAACCTTTCACTTATGGGAGTTTTACCATGTCGATGTGGATTTTTTATACTGATATTGCAATAGCAAAAGGGACATTGCTATTCCCCAAGGTAACTTTATTATATTTTGCAAAATATATAGAAAGCTATAATGTGGCAGATAAAATAACATGTTTTAGACATAGAGATCTGGAGTCAAGTCCAGCCGCCACCATTAGTCTACACTACACTGTTGGTCAAAGTTCTTTTATGCCTCTGAGTTTCTTGTGTCGTAACTGCCTTTTCTTTAAAACAGGCAAAATAAACTTATCTCGTAGGATAATTCTGGAGTGAAATGAGAAAATATATATAATGATTGTCAAAGGGCCTAGCACAAACTAAGTGCTGAATAAACTGTAGCAAAACCAGCAAACAATAAGAAGCAGGCTTCTATTATTTTCATATGAATGCTTAAAAATCAACCCTTACTTTTTTTTTTGTTAAGAATGTCAAGATGAAGCTTTAATATCTAGGTTGGAACTTCTTTTGTTGGCCATAATATAGTTGATTACCCATAGCTCTCACAGAAGACCTTTCTTTCATTTTGCCCAATAAAAGAAGAATTCAGTGATAGAGGAGAAGACACCTCTGTCCTTCTCCTGTTGTGACTGCTAGATGCCATTTTGGTGAAATTCTAAAGCACAGTTAAATCTAGAACCAGAATATATGTAGGTTAGGGAAAGCAAAGATAGATAGCTTTGCACAAGTCTGTATTTGAGGGGCAAACTGGCGATGTGAACAAAACAGATTTCTAAAAAAGGAATGACCAGCCAGGGTTGTTTCTTAAAAGAGTTTTACTTTGGTTTTTTAAATAAGATAAATTATCTGGGTGATTAATATACATAATGATTGTCATTAAAAAGTAAAAACTGGAAAAATAATTTTCTTTAAAGAATTTTATTCTTTATAGGGAGTAATTAAATGAAATTTTCAATTATTTTTCCCATTAAGTATATAGTGTAAATACACTAAGTCATAAATCACTCAAGTAATAGCTGGTTGACTTCTATTTCCTGCCACTCAAGTACTATCAAGAAAAATATTATTACTTTGATCTGAATAAAATCTTGCTTGGTAGATTTCTCCTTCCTTCCTTTAAGAGACATTATATTCCTTGCCAGGTGCACAATTATTCATAAGGAATTATTTATATACAGGATACAAGAATTTAAAGTGACTCATAGCTATATTGTTTCTATTCAGATCTTAAAGTATATACTTCCAATCACCAGTTTTTAAAAGATCAGTAATCTCTAAAAATCACATTTACATATAAAACCAGGATGAAATTATTAGTGTTTACTAGCAATAAATAGAATGATCTAATATTAGAAAGCATCATGGAAATTTTTAAAATCTAGAGTTTCATTATTGTATAACACTGCAAAAAAGGACAAATAGTATGAAGAAATTTCACTATTCCATATTTTTCTTCCTTTTCTGACACATTAGAGTAGAAGAAAAAAATGAGAATTATTTGTTGCATATCCAAAGCCTGAAATCTACCACTAGTTGACTTTTTGAGAATCATTTTCTCCTTTTCAACATACAAAGTACATAGAACCTTGTAGGACCCTGAAGTACCAGCTGGTCAATAAATACTTGTCATATTAAGCAAAATTCACTTCTATTTTGCAACTGATTAGATGTTTCTCATGGCAATATATTTTCTTATGGCAATATATTTTCTTCTTAATAATAGAAATTGAATGCTTTTCATTGATGTTATAGAAAGTTGCAAACATAGAAATATATGCTTTCACTTAGAATCTAAGTCAGATGAGGAAACAAAAGGGCTAGCAATAAGGGAAACCCCAAAAAATCCTAATGAGAGCCTTAGCTCAGCTATTTCTATAATCTAAGCCATCCTCTATGACCTCTTCCTCTAAGCTTCAGTTTACTTGCTCAGTTAACTGCAGTGGCTCCTTAACTGACCTCTTTGTGTCTACCCCTTACCTTACTCAGCCATAATCTCCCTCAAATCATGCCACTCCTTTGTTGAAAATCCTTGGTAGATCCCCACTTCACTTAATATAAAAGGCAAGGTTCTTTCAAGGGCCTTCAGGGCATTATCAATCCTCACCTCACTTCCTGCAATCTCTCCTCACTCCCTCTGATCCAGCCATGCCAGGCCCTAATGGGCTTCAGATACACAAGGCACATTTCTGCCTCCGCTCACCTGCAGTTACAAACCTTGTGCTGGGGACAAATTCTCCTGAGACCGGATGACAGCTTACTCTCTCACCTTGTGTAAATGCTGTTTTCTCAAAGAGTCTCCCCTGATGACTATGTAAAATTGCAACACTGCAACTCTTCCAGGACTCCCTTCATCCTTTTCCTACTCTGTTCTTCCAGAACACACTTTTCAGCCATGTTAAGCAGTACGTTTTATTCATTTATTTACTTCTTCTCTATATCTCCCCATTAGGCTATAATTTATATGAGGGCAGAGAATACTTGGTAAATATGTAAAAGGATGGTTATTTAAGCATCTTACACATGTCTAGGTAAATGACTTTCCTGGGTCAAAAGGTATTTAGGGCAACTTTAGGAGACACAGACCTCCACAGAGCATTCCCTAGTTGTTAGGGGTGTTGCTAAGGTGTCATTATATAAAACCTTGCAAAAGCGCTTCCCAGCACTTTCTGGGTTTTCTGTGCACTCGGAGCTTGAGTGCAATGCAACAGAAAGTCTAAGTGCTGAACTGACTCTCCAACCCAGGAAAAGAAAGCAGCCTGTAGCTCTGTCCAGAATGAGAAAGACCAATACTAAACCACAGAAAGCATCTATCTAGCTTTTATCCTTGAAGGCATAGACATAAATCTAACTCAAATGATTCATCTGTATTATTCATAAGTGGAAAGAGAAATGTGGGCATTTCTCAAAGGATAGTCATCTAAATTTGTTAACTAATGTTTTAAATACTTTGAACCATTCTTAGCACTATAAAGTCAAATCTTTCCACAAGCTTTTGTCTCTGTTTCTTCCAACACATACTCACTGAGGCCCTTTCTGGATGCCAGGCACTATCCTAGGTGCTGGGGACTGAATGGTGTGCACCAGCAGAATAGCCCCTTTGCTCATAGGACTGCCATCAGAGAAAACGGCATTGACCATCAAATGAGTAGATAGAAAATTGTGACCAGGGACATAAAAGAAGAAGTGAAGGTCTTCAGAAGTAAAATAAGACTCTGCAAACAGTAAGGACTGATATAATCAGGGAGGATGGGGAGACATCTTTAAACATGACCATTGAGGTGAGATGCAGAGATAAAGTGGGAGAAAGAATTGAGGGTGAAGGGATTGGGATGGAAGAGAAGGAGAGCCCTCCAGGCAAAGATCCTCTGGCTTCATCACTTTGAGATTCTCAGACTACCCCAGGCTCTGATGGAAGGACAGATATGTATTCTTTACTGAAGTTCTTGTTCCTCTTAGGCAGAGAAAAGTCCAGTAAGGTTTCAGGTCTGAGCATGATTTCTAAGAAAAGCAAAGTAGAAAAGATCCTGGCATCCTGACTGACTCACTTTCTTTGAGTGAAGATAAGCTCCTTGACTTCATCTATGTGAAAGAATTGTACATGGACCTGCTGACCTCACCCACTCTTAATCTAGCATGCATCCCAGACTCCATTGCAGACAATAGGACACTCAGTTTCCCTGCCTATGAGAACAACAGTAACCAACTCCTGTTTAGAGCAGCATGTAAACACAGCTGCTGTTCCAAGTATTGCAGGAAAATCATTTGCATCATTATTTGGGTGGGGCACTTCTGGTTTTTGACTATCTTTCATTAGAGAGATTTCCCTACGTGGACATGGTGGTTTCTGCTCTGAAAGCTGAGTACAAAGGGTTTTTTGCTACCCTTCATTCCTCTACCTCTTCTTCTTTCCTTTCCCCTTTTCTGACATCCTTATCATTCATGCAATAAGTTTTATCAGGAGCTCAGAGATAAAGCCTGGGCATGTAGGCAAATGCCCTACCATTGAGCTACATCCCTAGCCCAGTTATTTTTTAAAGCAACAAAGACCCACTGGGGTCTGATGTCATTTCCTGAATTAGAGAAAAAAATTCTTTCTCTATACAATTATTGAAAGCTGTTGACATACCAGGCACTATGTTTCAGGTTCAGAAGTTATAAGGCAAGACAGACATGGTCATTGCCTCATGATATTCTGTTCCAGCAAAGAACACAGTATGGTTATATAAACTGAAAGTAAACCGATAGATAAGAAATTTTAAATTATGATAAGATTGATAATGTGAACAAAAAAAATAACACTACATAAATATGGGGATGGGAGGTTAGCAGTTTGTATCATCTGAATCTGAGGTTTTTAAGCTATCTTGTGCCACAGATCCTTTTGAAGTTTAATGAAACCTGTAGATTTTCTGAGAGTCATCCTTTAAATATATAAAATAAAATATATGGAACAACCAATAATGTCATTACACTGGAATATAGTTCTATCTGCACATTTATTGATAATTCACTGACTCCAAACTTAATTCCTTCTAAGGCATGTTAAAAAGCTTGGATATTATTGTAGTTACAGTAGAGAGTAATAATAAGGATTTAGCTGGGCATGCTTGTTATCCCATTGGTTCAGGAAGCCGAGTCAGGAAGATTCTAAGTTCAAAGCCAGCCTCAGCAACTTAGCAAGGCCGTAAGCAACTTAGTGAGACCCTACCTCAAAATAAAAAATAAAAGGGCTATGATGTGGCTCAGTGTTTAAGTGCCACTGGGTTCAATACCTACTACTACTACTACTGCTACTACTACTACTAATAATAATAAATGTTTTCATCAAAGAAGTAATATACAGATGGTACTGGACTTATGATGGGTCTACTTCTCTATAAACCCATCATAAGTTACCATAAGTTTCAAGTATCATAATTAAAAATGCATTAAATATATTTAACTTACCAAACTCCATAGCTTAGTGACAGTGCACTACACAGTATGACAATTCAGTGGCCAACAGGGAGCTGCAGCTCACTGCCTAGCACCACAAGTAGAGGACGTGTCACAGGATATATCACTATCCCAGGAAAAGATCAACACTCAAAATTCCAAATTCAGTTTCTACTGAATGCATATAGCTTTTTTACCATGATGAGACTAAAATTTTAATTCAAACCATCAAAAGTCAGGGACCACTATGATTAATGTTTTTTAACAAATCATAGTTACATATGGAAAGAGATGGCATGTGGCAAGAGTTAAGAAAGGAGCATGGAGGGAGCTACTCAGGAAGTAGAAGACTCTAGCTTGGGACTGGGAGATTCATCATGGAGAAGACCCTTTCTAAAAAAATGTCACTTAAAGGGCTGGGTTTGTGGTTTAATCGTAGAGTGCTGCTTAGCATGGTGAGGCACTGGGTTCGATTCTTAGCACCACATATGAATAAATAAAAATAAACTCCACTGACAACTAAAAAATTATTTTTTAAAAAAAGAATATCACTTAGAATCTAGCTCTAAAAAAAGAAGCGTCCTCTGAGGAGAGAGGAGACTGGAAAGGAAGAAGTATGTCTTTTTCTCTTCCTTCTTCCTGCAAACCTCCCTCGATTCTCTGAAGGTTTCCTTGGTGATTCTAGTTTAAGGAACTCCTTCTGAAATTTGTGGCTTGAAGACAATAGAAGACTTAAAGAGAATTCTCTATACTTACTTGAACCAAATATGTTTCCAGTAAACCTTAAAAGCAGTTGTTCTCCTTCTCTTACTTGGAAATGACGAGATGACTCTGGAAGTCCTCCAAATCCTTCTAAGAGCAAGTCCTTAAGTGTCTGGTTTAAATCTTTAGAAGGCACCACTAAAACAACCACTCTGTGTGGATTGTCCTTCTGGTGCGACAAAACTACGCAAGCAGTGGTGCTGAGCAAGGCATTCTCCAAAGACTTTACAAAAGAAACCAAATGGCTCTTGTCCACAGTGGAAGAGAGGTGAAGTACAATGAACCTGCACAGAAGAAGAGGGACAAGACCACAGGGGGAAATGCAGCCTTACAAACACCACCAATACCTAGTAATAGATCAATATCTTTTTAAAAAAAAGCCCTTATCATCCAAACTTTCCTTAAAAGCAGATGTGCTGATGACAATCCAGTTACAGTCATGAGTGACTTTAGTGAAATCCTTGGCCGTCAAGACATGAGCTCAGATCTAACTAAATTCTCAAACATGATCTTAAATAGAGAAGTCATACAGGCTCAGCTCTAAACATGACATCATAGCTTAAGTCATACAATAATGAGTCACATAATGTTTCAGTTGATGGTAACCATATATATGACTGTGGTCCCATAAGATAATAACGGACCTAAAAATTTCCATCACCCAGTGATATCACAAACATCTTAATATTATAATGTAATACATTACTTATGTGTTTTTGGTGATACTAGTGTAGACGAACCTACCACATTTACAGTCATACGAAAGTATAGCACATACAATATGTGAATTTACATAATAGTTGATAATGAGGATACATGAGTATGTCACTGGTTTATATATTTCTATAATGCACTTTCTATTGGCACTTAAGAGTGATTTTATTTTATTTATATAAAAGACGTTAACAATAAACCAGATTCAGGCAGGTTCCTTTGGGGTATTCAAGAAAGCATTGTCTTATAGGAGATGACAGCTCCAAATATTTTATTGTCCCTGAAGAGCTTCCAGGGGCTCATGATGCCAAGTTGGAAGTCAGATACTAATGACTCTGACCCTGTGTAGATTAAGGCTAATATGTGTGTTTGCATCTTAGTTTTTAACAAAAGATTTTTTTTAAAAAAAAACATTTTAATTCAAATTTTAAAAGTAGGAAAAAGCTTAGAGATTAAAGCTATAACAAAAGAAAATATTTTTTAAGTTGTACAATGTGTTTGTGCTTTAAGTGTTATTACAAGAGTCAAAAGTCTAAAAACTTTAAGTTTATAAAGCAAAAATAGTTATAGTAAGCAAATTAATGTATTAGTGAAGTTTTTAATTAATTAAATTATTTATTTATTTATTTATTTTGTCAATTTAATGCAGCCTAAGTGTAAAGTATATGATCCTAGCTCTCTCATTCACTCACCACACCCTCACTGACTCACACAGAGCAACTTCCAGTCCTGCAAGCTCTATGCATGGTAAGCACCCTATATAAGTTTACCATTTTTGATCTTTATACTGTTTTTGTACTGTACCTTTTCTGTTTAGATACACAAACACTCTTGTGTCAAGATTGCCCATAGTATTTATTTAGCACATTAGCATGTTTTACAGGTTTGTCAGCTACAGCACACAGCCTTAGGTCTGATGTACTCAATACCACACAGGTTGTTTAAGTACATGCTGACGTTCACATCATACCACAACTACATACTTATGCAATTCTCAGAACATAGCCTGTCTTTAAGCAAAGCATGAGTATATTTTAACTAGAATTACCAAAGTATTACTTCAAAATATAGAAGAGAGATACTTTTAAGATAAACTATTTACTCCTTATAGGATGCAGAATATATACCATAATAAAGTGGGAACTGAAATATTCATCTCTATCTCTGTGTGGTAAGTATTTTTTAATACTTTTGTAGTTGTAGATGGATACAATATCTTTATTTACTTATTAATTTTTTTATGAGGTACTGAGGATGGAACCCAGTGCCTCACACATGCAAGGTAGGTGCTCTACCACTGAGCTACAGCCCCAGCCCCTGTGTGGTAAGAATTTTTATGATGAATTCTGTTATGGGTTGAATTGTGCCCCACCCTCAAATCTGTAAGTTGCAATACTAACCCAGAGCTGGCTTAATATGTGAATTTAATTGGAGAAAGGGTCTTTACAGAGGTAATCAAGTTAAGGCAAGATCATTAGGGTGGACCCTAGCCCAATATAAATGGTGTCACAAAAAGGAGATCTTTCAACACAGGAAGGCATACAGAGAGAACACCATGTGAACAAGAATATTCCTATCTATGAGACAATAAAACCCTTGGAACTGATCCTTTCCTCACAGTGCTCAGAAGGACAAAAAACCCTACTAACATTTTGGTTTTGGAATCCCAGTCACTAGAACTGTGAAACAATAAATTTCCAGGTTTCAAGTCATCCAGAATGTGATATTTTGTTACAGCAGCACTAGAAAACTCATACAGACCCATAACCCTGGGTTAGACCAGTCATTTCTCAGTTCATTTCCAGAAGTTGCCCTCCAGGACCCCCTAATTCAGAGAAGCCTTCTCCCACAGACAAGGACTGACTGATGTGAGGGCACAGAGCCAAGCTCCCTAGTACTCCAGAGCCCCCCTGAGGTATCAGCTGGGGAAAAACTTCAGCTAGAACCAGAGTTTTCCTATCTTCCTCCCTGGCTCTACCTCCTTTCATTTCCTTACAAGACTGGCCTAAGAGGCTCCTCAGTAAATAAATTGCACTTTTAGAATTTTTTTCTACAGAATTTTGATCCAAGATAATTGTAGATGTCAAGTTTTCATTATAAAATAAAGGCTATCTTTAGAGATGGTGATTGCCCTCTCTTCATGAGTATCTACTCCTCATGAACCTTAAAACTGATTCAAATGCTCCTCGTAATGGACCGTCTAGAAAACATGGAAATGAGAAGGCAAAATGAGGGCACTGGAATAACCAATTCAGTTCATCTATACATAGTTATGAGATGAGCATAGATATGAACAGTTAATTATTATCCCCGTGAATTTCAGAAACGAAGATGCTATTTTAAAAGTATTCTGGAGTTGAAAGAAACCTATAAAACGAAATCTAAGTTATGAGTGGTTTCCAAAAGCACTTGTTTTAAACTATCATGAAAGAAATTACAAACAGCATATTCATGTCAATTCTAGTTTATATTTTAAGCAGATCTTAAAAGGGATTTTATATTCTTATTTGAGGAATTAAAATCCAATCCTGTGATTGGATTTCCACAAACATCAAAGATAGACCATCAGGAGAGAAAATCAACTCCAATCGTTTAGTACTATATTACCTCTCTAAATGTTCATGCAATTCAAATGATATCAAGCCACTCTGGATGGTTCTCACCACAACATCATCAAGCCCAAACCAACCAGTGTCTTGGCTTCTGTATCCCAGTAATTTCAAAGATTCACAGGTATTGTTCCCAAGTTTTCTTGTGGAAGCACTTTTTGTCCTATATAAAGGCAGCAGAAGAGAAATTGGTAAATTTTACTTAACGTACACCATATATAATGCCTTCATTCATTCTTTATCAGGTGAATAATTCAATAATAATGCATTAAGTATATGTTATGTGCCAGTAATTACACCAGACACCAGGAAGACAAAGATAAGTAGATACAGCACTTGCCTACCTAAGCATGGTATCAAAAGATTATCTGATTACAAGGTGATCTGTGTGGTAATTAAAGGAAGGTATACAGTGGTTTAGGAGCAGATGTGAAATGCTCAGGGAAGCTTGCAAAGTGAAAATGCTGATTTTAAAACTGAGATTTTGAGAATGAGAAACATTTTACCACAGGCAAAAGAGGTAAAAGGGAACTCTTGAAATCATTAATGAACTTCCTAATATAAACCAAATGTTTTAGAATAGCCAAGAGTAGTCGTGCAGCGTAACACGTAGCACCACAGATTCTGTTACAGAACTGCCCAGTTTCAACTCCTCAGTGGCTTTGCCTCTTATTCACAAATGGCCATGGGAATTTTTTTGGTTTGACTATACGCCAGTTTTTATGTCTATAACATGAGAATAATTGTATTACCTACATCTTAGGTTTAAGTGATACTTGTATAATTATAAATCACTTATAACTGTAGTGAGTAAAAGAAGTAATATTAATACCCTCAATCTAATCAAGCATAGTCAGTTAGCTTTCTTGCATAATTTTCCTTCTCACATAACCTGCCAAACAAAGGTCCTGAAAGGATCAGTTTTAAATGCCTCATGATACTTCTCACCAACCAGAAGTGGTTTAACAGTAGATCAATTTCTAACAGTCAGCCAGTTTGATTCTCTTTCTTTGGAATTAAGAAGCTCAGAGAATGTAACTTGCCACCTTCCTTTAGCTGTAGAGCCCTGGAGATGGAAATTAATAGATTTAAGAGAGGAAAATAGATGCTACAGAAGAAAGTAGATGATTAATGAGATGCAAAAATTCTCAAGATGGGAAAATTAGAGCTTAACTATTTTGGCATTATAATAACTTTTTTCTTGAATTCATTTGAGAGGTTATCTGTTCCTCAAAGCCAAAAGAAGGAAAGTCCTTGATGCTGAGTGTCTTAGGTGGAAAATGTGCTACAACTCAAAAGGGAATAGAAACATTCTAGCTATGTACAAGAATGAAGATACAAGTGTGAATCCCACATCTATTTGGGGGTTATAGACTTAAATCCACCATAGTTTAACAGATTTAGCTGTCCTATTACCTAGCGGCTACTAATTGCACAAGATTTAAAATATCTACCTTGAAAAATCTTTATTAGTTATTTCAGGAGATAAATTAAAATCAAGAGTAGGGTAAAAATATTTAGCTCTTGACTGTTGGATTATAACCACAGAGATGGTAAAATTTTAAGCCCTGGTAGTTAATTTATTCACACAGGAAGGTTGACTCAATAAGAACCTTGGTCATTTACCATAAATTGAGTTAATTAAGTATAATGTTGACTTTTTTTTTTTCTGGAAGCTATTCACTTTTTTTTTCTGCCAATAGTTTAAATTTTTCTGTGGGAGACTATAGGCTCCCAAGTGTGATGAGATGACCCCATGCCCAGATCCTGGAGTGAGTATAATTGGCATTCATCAGTGCTGTTCACCAAATATCCAATTTCTCCTTGTTCATAGTACATGATATGGAAAATGTGCTACAACTCAAAAGGGAATAGAAACATTCCCAGCATGTCCTGGCCCCTATGGTTCAGTGGAACCATGTGTCTAGTTCTGGATAATTCATTGTACATGAAAGATAGATGTGTCACTTTGAGTCCATGCATTTTGTTGCTAATGGTTCCATCCAAAAGTCTTTCTTCTACCACTATAACAGCAATCAATCAGTACTTGCTCCATCTGCCCACATCCTAGAGTGAGAACGTTTTGAGAGGCAGCCTACCTCTGATGGCCACACAGTATATGTGAGACATAAAGACTATTGTTACAAATCCTTGGGTTTGGTAGTTTTGTCATTCTAACATAACCTAGGCTAATCTGCACTATATCTTCCTTCTTGTTTCAGTGAAATTTTCAGAGATGGATTTATATCAGATTTGGAATGAGAATTAAGCCATGGGCTTTTATGCATATACATGGAGAAAAGAACTATGCTCTTTTCCATGAACAGTAGCTCTAAATATGTAGTAGAGCCACATTGTCAGCATAAGGGGTAGGCAAGTCAGAGACTGAGTTGGCACAGTCAAGACAGAAGAAAGAGGAGGAGGAGAAAGAAAAGAAGGAGAGGAAGAGAAAGAGAAGAAGAAAAAAGAAGAAAAGAGGATCTTCTTGATTAAAAAAAATATAAAGATAAATGTAGCCATAGACGTTTTATTTATATAGACCAAAAAATTTCCTTTTCACTTAAACATTTTAAATTTGCTTTTCTGCCACTAAAAACTGTTTTCAGGAATAAAGTTAGGGGACTGGGATTGTAGCTCAGTGGTAGAGCACTCGCCTAGCATGTGTGAGGCACTGAGTTCAATCTTCAGCACCACAAAATAATAATAATAATAATAATAATAATAATAATAATAATAATAATAATAATATTGTGTCCACCTACAACTAACAATATATATATATATTTTAAATTTGACAGCTATTATTGTCTGACAATGAATGGTAATTTTAAGGATCCACAAAACCTAACTATGATGTCATCATAGTTGCATAAAATATAGCAAACCCTTATTAAAACAATTTGTTAATTCAATAATGACCAGATTTTATCCTGGCCAAAAGGTACACTGACAGAACCATGCTCATAGAGAATACTAATTAAAATGCACATGTTTCTTTATTTGTGAAAAAAAATAGTATGATGCATAATTTGGCAAGCAATCATATCATCAAAATTCACATATCATATTTTACTTTCAGAATATTTCCTTTGTGGTATGCATAATGCATAGTCATTTAAATGTAAATGTCACTAACTTTTTCTCAGAAAACTATAATTTAGCTATTAAAGTACTGATTTTAAATGGCATGCTACACTCAAAAAATTAATTTTTTTCCCATTCTAGGTTATACATGTTGATTGTACAACTATTTTAAAATAGAAAAGTAAATGGAAAAAGAAAAGTACACCTAGTTACATTGCCTAGAGCCAAATGCTACAATATTTTAATGGATGTCTAGCAGTCTTTTTCTACCTGGTTTTTTATTTGGCTTGTAAAATAGTAACTACATTCTGTGTCAAATCATGCATCCTAATTTCAACATTTGTAACTAATATATAACCTTTAGATATCAATTCAAATGACCAGTCCCTATCATAACACTAAGAGAAAAGTTCTTTCTTGATTCAACTATCACTTCTGACTAAGGCTCATGAACCTTCAGGGTTTTAGTCCAAGGTGCCATTAGTCCCAATTACAGTCATCTTGCAGAGAACACAGGCGACATAATCTAGGCAGTCAGCTGTCTTTTGTATGGTCTTCCTTCTCTTATGCTTGGCTGTGTTGCTGTCTCACTGCTGGTGAGGGCAGAGGATTCCTGTGATGTGATGCTACACTGCTCCACTATTGTACCAGGTCACAGTAGTTTTTCAAGAATCAAAAAGAAACTATAAGACAACTCTTTTCTCATTGTTATGCTTATATTTAATTCAGTTATCCCACCCTGCGCTTAAGTACCCACTGTATCTTAGTGAGCCCACTGACTGGTCCTCAACCTGCACACACAGTCCTTATTCCAAAGGAGTGTCCGTGGTGCTAGAAAGTCCCCATGTTTTTTGTTCATGGCCTACCTATTGACATACGTAGGTCAGGCATTCAAATTCCCTTCTCCTTTAAGCCATTTTTTTTTTTTTTTTGCTAGCTGACTTCTGAATATCCACCTCAATCCAACAGAAATGTTTCAGTAATGCTACCCCTCACAGAAAAAGGTAGCAATGACTTCCATCCCTTCTTTTTCAAGAAGCTGTTTCCACTCTACACATTTACCCATCATTCCCAGGGATAAAAAGCCCCATGCACCAAGAAGTATGTAGATAAAGTCGGTGTCACTGTTAAGATTCTTTTAGGAAAGTAATAGAAACCCAAAACAATTGTACCCAATTATAAAAATGAATCAATTAAAATAATACCTGTTTGTTAATGGAGCAAATATAGACAAATATTGAAGATTTCAGAGAAAAGCTGTATTTGATTTCAAAATCATCTTTTTTTCTTTTTGTTGAAATGGATTTGTTTTATTTTTAAATGAGCACTTTAAATTATTTTATTGGAGCATGTTAATTATACACTATAGTGGGTTTCACTGTGGTATATTTATGCATACATTAAAAACATAATTTGATTAATTTCACTCGCCATACACCCTCACCCTCTTTTATCCATCTCCCTAAGTCCCCTTCTACCCTACTGGTCTCCCTTTTTATTTGTTTCTTTTGTTTACTTTTTTAGGTTTCATGTATGAGAGAAAACATACTACTTTTCTGAGTCTGACTTATTTCACTCAAAATTTGGTCTCTAGATATATAGACAGAGATAGAGATAGGCATATCTATATAGATATAGATATGTCTATATCTATTTATCTATACATATTGCACATTTTTTTATCTATTTATCTGTTAAACATCATCCCTATCTACTTATTTTTACCTCTGCATCTTTCCATTTTTTTCCTCTCAGTTAATAGTGAGAATTTTTTTATACAGTAGAAAATTCAGAGTTTTACATTGGAGAATTTGACTACCCAGGAAACTGACCTTGCTATTTCTGGGTCCAAGACCCTTCCCACATCAAACTTTCAAACATTAAGGAATTGTGAACAGCCTATTTGGGGCCAAGTGTTTAATTGTAAGTAGTGACATGGATAAACATGGAAGTCACCATTGTACCCATATGGACAGAAAGGGCATTTTCTAGAAATTGTAGTACAATTCCCAAAAATAAGGTGTTATGTAGACAAAACTTTATATATATATATATATATATATAAACTTTATATATAAA